CGATGTAGAAGTAAAAGGCTTTTGATAGTTAGCATAGCTACTCACCTGCGACTTTGCACTTTTAACGTACGAAGTAATTGCAATGTGCAATTAGTAAAACAGACAGTCTACTAACTACTTCTCACAAAATCGCACATACGCCTAGCAATCTGGTTTATCCGTTTTTTTCTGTGAATTCATGCGTCTACAGCGAAGTGCAAGATCGGATTATTTGATCAGCGATGAATTAAGATCAAATTGGAATTCATATTAAGACAGCTTGTATATTACGATTAGAAGAATTTGCTTAAAATTTATGAACTACCTGTTCTTGTGCTTTTTTTGAGTTGTCATTGCAGTTCTTTTTTAATTTTTTGACAAACTTTTTTAGTGACCAAATTTTATGATGGTCAGTTTTTCGTAGAATCGTGTTTCTCTTTTCTCCCTCAAAGGTTACTTCTGGCTGCTTTAATAGCGCATTAGTGTGACAGGTAGTAGTTCGAATTATCTCGAATTCGAAGATCTACGAAAACAGACAGTGTTCTCTTGTAGGATTCTGTTACAGACGGATGTCGTGTATTTGTTAGTAGCAAGATGTCGTAGGTGAATGATCTATACACGACAACAACAGTTACTCACAGACATTAATGACCATGAGCAACATAAATTGCATGAGGCACAAGAGCAACTGGAAGAGATAAACCAGCAAACAGAAACCATCGAAGTAGAAGAAGTGATCACTCGAGAAATATTAAAAAAAAATGATCATATTCAGTTGTTAAAAGTGAGAAAGAGATCTATTGAATGAAATGACTAAAACAGGAGGGAAAAAAATTGAACCTAAACAGATTACTCCTTACGATCTGATTGGTTTGAATAGTATAGCCACATTTAAAGAGAAAATTGAATGGAATGTACGACTTAATGTTTCACTGGATGAACTTCCCAATTCGTACATTATTTACGATTATTCATACGATCATGATACAATAACTGAAGAATTACGAGAATTAGCTATACAATATTCGAATGAACAAATTATTGTTGGAGCTATCAGTGGAAAAGAGTCAACATCGTTGGCATTGGCTGCTATGGGTCCAGGAAATATTTTGAAGTTGGACACTCCTCAAAATCAGCCAGTCAAGTACAACAACGTTTATTGGTATTTGACACCTAAGAGATCATTTGGATATTCACCAACAGCAAAAATCCATCAGATGACGAAGATGACGATGGCGTTAAACCGTTAAGTTGGCACCTCGATCGCTGTAGCGGTGATTGGCGAGCAGAAAACACAAAAGGTTTACGGCGGAACAATGAGTGGCGTAAAGTTATACTTGCCGAAAACTAGCTCTCTCTGAAATTAGCTAAACCACCCCTCTCACACAACACGTACAAGTATGATCGATTAACATTGTATAGGAATGATGCATAATCATTATACGAAAAGAATAAATTATGAATGAAGAGAATTCGAAACAATAAACAGAAACTGTTTCACGATTGAAATTATTAGTATATTATTCGTAGAACATTTTTGGGCGTCCTGCGAAATATGTTTTCCCCCCCTCAGAATGAAATCTTTTTATACCAAATTACAGAAAAGGTATATACAGTGAAGGGTGGTTTTCGGCCTTGGACTCTAGAAAACTCCAAAACGGTAGCAGACAGAGAGCAAAAAGCGCATCATTCGACGCAGTTTATATTGCTGATCATTATCGTTACTTGTTTTTATTGAAAAATGACTTTCTATTGAGAAAAGAATGACTTGTTGTCATATAGGTCACATATGAATATGAATTAATAACAACACATACAAGAGAAAAAATGATGAAAGCAGTTCGAACAACATTAAATAATTTGGTATCTAAAT